CCCCAAAACCCCAAAACCCCAGATCTCGATTAGATAAGAATTATAAGCAATTAAAATCAATATATTAACAAATATTTTATTTTCAAAGAATCAGTTAATTTTTAGTGTTAAAAATACTTCTTCAAAAGCAGATCTTTGATAGACTTTTTCCATATCTTCAATACTTGTGTATATATCTCCATCAAATCCTCCAACTCTTACATCATATCCCATTGAATTAATTAATAGAATAAGGTCATTTGGGGAGATCCCAACTCTAAACATGTTTGCTGGTAAAAATTCGATAATAATGTAGGGTATTTTGTATCTGTTTATAAACTAACTTCCTCCTTTAAATAGGAAATATTCATATCCCTCAATATCAATCTTCATCACTCCTATCAGGACATCATCAGGAATATTATCTATAAAATCATCTAACTTTTTCAATTGTATAAATTCTCTGAATTCTGCCCCTGCAGCAAATTATGATTCACACTTAACTAATCCATTCTGAATATTGATATCTAATGAATATATTCCGCATAAATAATTTTAATCACCTAACCCATATTCAAAAATCTAAACTTTTTCCTTAAGACTAGGCTGTAGACAAAGACTGTATTTCAAAGCATCTGTATTAGATTTCATTGGCTCAAATGTATAGACTAAGAATTCATTTCTTGCAGCAACTAAAGTGAACCAACCAATATTTCCTCCAACATCAATAAAGGCTACTCTTTTGTCTTCATTAACCTATTACATTCATCAGAGTTTGTCCATAATGAGTTTAGTATTTTCAATCTCCCAATAATTATCAGAATTAATCCAAAAGGATACTGAATCAAGCTTTTTGTCTACACTTTTGGATGCCATCCAAATAAGAATTTTAAAATCATCATAGAAGCCCTGACGAGATTTGATGTCTACTATCTTCCAGTTTTTACTTTCTAAATCTCCAACCTCATATTTGCATTAGTCTTAATTAGTATTTCTGATTAAAGGTCTATAGCATTAGACTTGATGCAATATTTAGACGAAACAAATAATCAATATTCAGAATGGATTAGTTAAGTGTGAATCATAATTTGCTGCAGGGGCAG